TGTATGTGCAGTTTTTTCATCTCAGTTTCTAACATCTCCTTTGCCTTCTCACTCGCTTCCAGCTTGTCATTCAGCATGGCTGCATTGTCCTTGGCAGTTTCCAGCTCCTCTATTACCTGGCTCAATTGGAGAGCTGTTTCCTCTTCCTTTGATTTTGCTGATATTGCCTCCATTTCCTTTTTGTTTAGCTTTTGCTTGAGACCCTCATTTTCTAGCTGAGAGTTCGCGAGTTCTTTCTCCTTCTCTTCCAGTTTGGCCTTTAATGAGCTTACCCCATCATTCCCAAGTGATGGTTTTTGCTGCTCAGGGGTTAATGGTGGTTCAAATGATGGACTAGGGGTTCTGGTTTTCGCTTCGTATTCTCCACAAATATTGTCATTTGGGTCCATTGCCACTTTCTCCATTTGAGCCTCAAAAACATCATTTTCTTGCTGGCAAGAATCTAAAACCATTTTTTCAGGCAGGTTTTCTTTTTCAGTGGAAGGAACTTCTTCAGGCTTTACAACAGCTGGTTTCCTTGTGTTCTTCTCAAGTATCTCCGGAGCCATTTTCTTTGAAGTAGCCGTTGAGGATAACTGCTCCTTGAGACATTTGAGCTCCTCTTGAGCAAGCCCAAGTTGATTTTCCAAGTCCGAAATGCGCGACCCGAGTTTCTTCTGAGTCGATGGATCAGATTGAGATCCCCTTGGAGATCGACGGTCTCCCCGCAATTTGGGACTCCTGTCAGTCAAAGGCCGACTTCGCAGAGGCTCCGAATCTGAACTTGAAGCTCTAAGCTGAGATGAGGTCCTAAGAGGATACCTTTGAGGCATTTTTGGTTCCCTATTCAAGAAATATAAACATTCTCAACACACACCAACAACAAGAATAACTTTGAAATTTTACTCTCACAGCAAATACATCAAACACCAAACGATTGCACAATCATATTCACCAGAGCATGAAAATTTCAAGATATCTATACATTTATCTTCTCACAAAATTCAATCCATGTTTCTATATGCCAGTACAATTAAGCTAAACACGAAAAAAATACGAATCATACCAAAAAGCTTCCAAAATAAACATGCATTTCTCTAATCTTTACTTCCCATCCAGAAACTACAAACTCATTTCATATCAAATTCTGAATCTAGAAATAATTATACTCAGTGCACTTTCACAATAATGTCACAAACTAATAAATTAACCAAACGTTAGTGAATGTTTCAGATCTGAAATGGTTCTGCAAATCTGACCTTAAATGCTTTCCCCTTTTCTCGGCTGATTATACTTGGAAGGTTTTCAAGTTCCCTCACCCACTCGGACTCAGGTAGACGATTCTTTTATTTCTTTTTATTTCTTCTGCTTTTTGCCAAAAGAAGAAATTCTCACAGGCGGCATGTGAAAGGGGATGAAAGAGGCCCTTGTGAGTTTATTTATTATGTGAAGAACTGGGGAGATCAAAGAGAGAGGACTTTAAATACTCCGTACAAAGTATTTGAACTTTTGAACGTTAGGTTAAATTTTTGAAATGGAGTAAAAGCTGAGATAAATTTGAACGTTGAGACAACAGAGAGACAGTATGTACGGAGTAAAATATTACTGGAGAGATTGAGACATGCATTCACTTGCTTTACATTGGGCCTTGGGCAAAGCAAATTGTTGCGGAGTATGTCATTGATCTATCCTTTACTTTAAAAAGACCAATATTCCCTCCCACCCCCTCAAATTATTTACACATTTAATATGGGTTTTCTTCAAAAATTGCTATAAAAACAAAAAATGTAACTTACATATTTAAAACTATATAAAAAAAATTATACAAAACAAGCTGTGACAAATGTATTTTTTCAAATAATCAATAAAAACGATATAAAAACAAATATTATCGGAAGTCTCACATCGTAAAAAAAACAACTAATTTGGGATGTAGTGAGTCTCGTTTCTTTCATAAATATTTTGCAGTCATTTGGTCATCAAAAAAAGAAACTTTTTTAGATGGAATAGTTTGGTTAGAACTTGTCTAGCCCAGTTTTATTTTTAATTTTTAAAATTTTTAATTCTTGACTTTAAAACAATAGAAATTATCCTAAATAGCACTAAAACATAGTGAAAGGTACCAAAATAGGATTTTCATATTTTTTTTCCCGAAATAAGACTTGGCATTGTGGTAATGTGGCACTGTACATGTGCATATTACTGTATTTTTTTGGTAATGTACATGACCATGTTTGGTAATGTAAGCCCTATTTCGGGAATAAAAACATGGAAGTCCTATTTTGGTATATTTTCAATGTTTTAGTCCTACTTTGGTTTTTCTCCCTTCAAACATTCAAAATCTTAGTTTTCATTATTTGAGTAATATGACTTTTTTGATTTGTATGCGCCGCTAGTTTTAGTCGGTTCGAGATCTCCGCCCTATATGGAATTTCAATTTTTGAAAAAATTGAAAAAAGTTGGAAAAATGGTAAGGAGTTGGAAAATACTGAAATTATTTAAGTATTAAAAATTTACTCAATCTAATGATCATCCAAATAAATATGTAAGGAAATTTTAATTTTAGAAAAAAAATTCATCTTTTTTCGTGTTTCAGGTGATATGTTATAAATTTGGATATATAATATTATTTTATATTAGTCACATATAAATACCTTTTCAACCCGTTGTTGAAAGAAATTGAAAATAGATGGAAGGAACTCGAAGAAATTGGAAAAAACTACAAAGAGTTGAAAAAAGTTAGAAATTAATTTTTCCAACCAAAAAAGAATAGGACCCTAGTCTTTTAGAAAAGACCATTAGTTCCAGGATTGTTTTTTCTTTCACCTAAATTGAAGCACCAAATGTTACCACCAATTAAAGATCAAATCGATCTAAAAGATCATTTCAGTGTCAATCTTTTTGTCTCGGCCTATTTTTCATTCCCAAGAGCATTTACAATGGGAGGAAATCTCGTTTCGCCTCAACTCTTGTCACATCAACATTCTACTAATTTTCAACCCCGTCTCAAAATCCTGTAATGTTATCACTGTGAAAAGCTGCCTCTCTATTTTCTTACATTATTCATCAGTTTCAATTCCAATTTTTTTTGAAAAAAGAAAATGCATATGACTAGAATAAAAATGCTAAGATTGACACTCATTATTTAAAAAAAACATCGAAAAAAAAGATGAAATACACTGAAATATAATTAAAATTTAAAATAACAAATATTAATGCTACAATTATGTATTGTGGCGCCTCCAAATTTCTTCGACCAAGTCATCCTGGAGGGTAGCATGGTTTCATTCATTTTGCCTACTTGCACACTGATTTACAAAATCTTTTAAATCAGGAGGTAGCCCTTCAGTCGCAGGACCTTGGCGGATGGTTGCCCGGGAAGTGGATGCGACCCCCTCATGTGTTAAACAAGTGATGTTGGCTCCCTCGTCTTCAACTATCATGTCATGTAGTATAATACATGCAAACATGATATCCGATATGAACGATTGGCACCACGGGCGTGCGAGGCCTTGGGGGATTGGAAGACTCCGAAGGCACGTTCCAAATCTTTCCGTGCCAATTCTTGTTTCTACACGAATGCCCTCTTTGGATTTCTCAGACACTTGATTGTTTTGACAAACACTGGCTAACGTGGATAGATCCCATCCATCAAATAATATCCCATGTTATATTGGCGGTTAATTGCATGTGTGGCGCACATCCAGCATATACATCGTTTAATAAAGGGGACCCATTCAACATATTCAAATCGTTGTTCAATCCACCGGCTCAAAAGTAGGCATACTAGTTCCATAGACGGCAGTAACAGCCTCGAGCACGATTATCGGGTGTGAGCCCTTGTAATCTCTTGTGAATGTACCCCTCCACGTCTCGGAAAAATTTTTCCACTCCCAATGCATACAATCCATGTTACCAATCATCTCTGGAAACTCGTGCACTTGCTTGTGCATATTAACTAACATTTGAAACCCTTGGACGGTCGACTTACGTAAGTACATCTCCTTGAAAACTTCAATGACACCTCGGCAAAAATGCTCCAGCATTCTCGGCATGTAGAGTTCCTGATGTGGAGGTACTTGTCGAACATTTCAGCACAAGTACTGTACGCGAGCTGCCTAATCGCAGTTATGCACTTCTATAGAGTGGATAGGCCCTCTCGCCCAACATCGCCCGGTCGCTGTTGGAAATAGACATCACAAGTTGTGAGTACGTCCGCGATCTGAACGAATAATACATGATGCATTCCGAAGCACCGAAGGAACTGGTCATCAGAAAAATGCGGAATGTCTAAAAAATATTCTTCAAACAAACGGCGAGCGGTTTGCTCACGTTGCTGGCGAATGTACAACCGCCTATGTGGAAAGGGGGGAGTAGCAGCCGTCGTAGGTTGTCGAGCAATTTCAAGTTGAATTTCTCCATGGATGAAAGGTAAATACTCGTGGTACGCCGTTATTAGCATATCCACGAACTCATCATTTGTTCAAGGAAGAGCCATTTTTTGTGATTTGAGATGAAGAGAAATTAAAAAAAAATAGGTAAAATGAGAGAGATGATAGTTAATGGATTGAAGTGGAAGATATGTTGAATTTATAGGGTAAAAAAATTAATAAATAAATAAATAAATAATTTAGATTAGGACACAGTGGACTGCTGCAGTGGATGCCCGCTGCAATTTTCCGCCTGAAATTCAGCCCGATTGAGTGCTGCAGTTGGGGCGTGCGCCGCGGCAAAAAAAACGTCCCTCCTCATGCAATGGACAACCAGCGCGGTGCGCCTGGAGAGGCAAGCGACACGGTGGGGATTCCTCATCCATTGCAAATGCTCTAATCCTTTTGCTCTTCGATTACAATTCCTCTCCCATTTATAGCAAGAGGATTCTTCCCGTTGGAGAATTTATTGTCTCGAACGGTGGAGGAGAGATTTGGAGTTGGTCTTCGGATCCATTGACGAGGAAGAATTAACGCAGGTTCTTTACTCTCCGTATTTTTTCCTTTGTTGCTAGAGATTTGGGCTTTGACCCAAACTTGATCTCTTTCTTTAAAACTTGGACTTCTGATTCGGCTTTTGCTGCATTTTTTTCCAAAAATAAGAAATCTGATAACTTGGATTAGGAAAAATAAAATTAAATGTAAAAAGTGATTAAAAACTACTATTTATTCAAGAAAATTAAAAGATTGTGAATATTAAAATTAAAATAAAACTAAGCAAAAAAAATAAAACACTAAAAATATTAAAAATGCCTAAAAAAGAATAAAAAGATCTAACCTAAACCCGACTTATCACTAACAATATAAATTAATTTTAAAATCCACAAATAGTGCAAAAATTATTTTAAAAATAGAAACCAACGTAGAATTTAAAAATAAGATGACACTCATTAAATTAATTTCGTATTACAATAGGAATAGAAAATACCATAAAACATTGCAATATTTAATAGAAACTAACATACAAAAATAATTTTAATTAGAGAGAAAAATTAGAATTAAACTAATAATATAAATTAATTTTAAAATATGCAAACCAAGGTAAAAATTACTCTGTACTTAAAAATAGAAACCCAAATAAAATTATTACTAATAATAAGATGACATTCATTAAATAAATATGATATACAAATAAGAAACAGGGATCAAGTAACATAAAACATTAGTGAAGTGGACGGGAATGGGGTTTTTTTTTGAGGTTTTTATACTCATTGAAAATGAGACAAGGAAATTTTGGTTTAGAACACCCGATATTTTTATCTTATTGTGTTGTTCTCTCCATGTGGAATTGGATGAGATGTTTCGAAAGCATTGAAAAATTTATTTGTCTTGGAGAGATTTTGGAATTAATATAAAATGAATAAAAAAGAAGTTGAAGAATAAAAGCTTACCAACGAGATTAAAGACTTCCCATACTAATGAATGGTACTACCAAAACATAGTAAAAATGGAACTCCCAAAACAAGATGGCTACTAGACCAGGTTTAACTTCCACAATCTGCATCAAGAGCTAGCATTCATTGAGAACAATTTACAGAGCAAACACACTAAAACATAGATAAACACCAAACAATTCAAACCCTAAAACCAGAAAGAGTAAGTACATAATGAAAGGTTTGAAACAGATTATACATAGAGATAAGGATGAGCTTCCACTACTGCTCAGTTACACTGAGCTTGAGCCCAGTTCGCTCCATTTGTTTCCTTCCAATGGTTTTTGGTGCAAGAACATTCACCCTTTCAGTTTTCACCTCCAACACAGGATTTTCGCATTGCAACCCGGGCTCAAGAGACCCCTTCATCAGTTTATAACACATTCGGTAGCTAATCTTAAACATTGTATTTTCTCCAATATTCATAAAACCACATGGCTGCGCAGTAATCACCAACCCATTTGTGGTTGATAGATCAGACAAAGACGCCGAGTAATTTGGGAACCAATTGAACTTTGTACCACCATCACATAAGTCAATCTCAAAGGCTGCTAAGATTGAATCTTTCAAATCTAGATGCTTTGCATCCCGCAAGCACACTAAGGGGCTGTTTGTTTCAGCCTCTTAATGGTTCAGATGTCTGAATGGTTCAGCACTTAATGGTTCAGACTGTTTGTTTCAGCCTCTTAATGGTTCAGATGTCTGAATGGTTAAGAGATTTGCCTCTGAATGATTAAGTATTATACAGAGTCTGAATGGTTAAGACCTCTTATCTGAATTGATCAGACATTTGCCTCTGAATAGTTAAGTAATATACTAGCTCTTAATGGTTCAGACGTCTTACTGGTTCAGCACTTAATGGTTCAGACCTCTTACTGGTTCAGCACTTACCGATTCAGAAGTTGCCAAACAGCCCCTAAGATTCTTTGATCAGATTGACCATCATTAAATAGACATGGTTCAACATGAGCTTGCACAAGTCCAATATGCAAATAGTCATATTTGCTCTTGTGCATTCTTATATCATCCCGGGTTAACAAATATAAATCTTGTTGTTTGCCTTTAAAATGAAAAAAATTCTTTACTGACTTAACTTTATGGTTGCACAGAAATTTAAGCCAAGCTTTCTTGTAGATCTGATCAGTGGGCATCTCTTTACCATGTCCTGCTAAGTGAATAACTTTATATTCTTCATTGCCAATGTTGCTTGAGGAATCACCTTTCAGAACTGACCTTATCGATTCAGAAGCAGAGACTGATAATGCCATGGATCTGCTTGTTCTTATGCTTAACCCTGGAATAAATGACACAAATAATTAGTAACAGATTCATAAATAAGCCTCAAATAGGTTGTGTTCTATGGAACATAAAACCCTAACCCAGAAAAATTGGTTGTTGCTGCGATGTTTCTTCAACCTATTACTTTGCGGAGAAAAATAGCTAGAGAAATGAGATTATGCAGCACAGTGCTGCTGCTGGCAACCACAGAAAAGAAAAGGGAGACGATAATGCGTCTCCTGGATGACTTGGATCTCTTTTGGTTACGTCCAATAATTTTTCTTTACTCTCTCTTTTTTATTTGTGCACAAACTTTCTTCATATTTTCTTTCAAGAACAATTAGACTCCCCCCACCCCCAAAATACTCCCTAAAAAAAATAGGGAAAATGTTAGCGATACATCAAAAATGTACCTCACATGTCCACCTCTTCCATGACCACAAAAATTAGCATGTAATTTTCAAAAAAATAAACAAATAAAATCAAATAAAAATGAATGGTCAAAAAGCATGTGGTAGTTATCTGCGGTATATTTTTAGTGTACCCTAACATCTCCAAAAAGATAGTTTTAGAGTAGACGGGGCATACGGATACCCCACTGTCGCATGATCCGTCGTGGTAGTGTCACATTACCCCGTGATTACACATAACACCCCTTCCCCAAACGTGAAGGGCTTCATTTTTGGCAAGGTTGGGTGCTAAGGGGTAAGATTTGAGTTCGATTCTTGGCAACTGTGTTGGAAGGCAACTATGCTAAGCATAAGGCTTTTATAAATACCAGGTGCAGGATCCACTATTTGCCACTAATTTGCAATTAAAGTCCAAATTATCTTTCTCAGTGACCATCTGGTCGGGTCTGATTGGGCCCTCGAGGATGCGGCTCATCCTTTTTTTATTAAAAGAAAACATTATCTCAAATAATCCTACCTTTTCGTGCTCTTTCAAAAATAATTTCACTTTTCACTGTCACCGAAAATAATCTCACATTCCCGCATACATGCAAGTTTTAGATTGTCGTTAAAAAACTAACGGTCACTAAACTGAATTTTTTAAAAATGCGTATTTTTTTGTAAATAAATGAAAGGTGAGATTATTTTTGCTAATTCTTTTTTTTTTCATTTCTACCTTTAAATTTAAATATATTTTAAAAAAAAATTATTTTGGGAAAATAATACCAAATGTAAGTGTTTTTCAGAGTGAAACTAATTATTTTTTCAATAATCGATAATCTGGTAATAATTAAAAAATAAATTATTCTACACAATAGAGCTAATTTATTTATTTCATAACTCAATACGGAGTACATTACTTTGTAACTTGCAATTATTTTTCTTGAACGGTACTTCAAATTATTTTTTGATGCTATATGAGTATTATTTCTTAAGAAATGTCACTACAAAACTTGTGAATATTTTTTGATAATTCTATATGAATATTTTTTGCAAAACAACATTTCAATAATTATGAAAAAACACAACAATTTTTTGAAATGGAACTTTTATTTTTATAACTCACTACACTTTTTATTATATTGCAATTTGTTCATAAACAACACTCTGAAATATTTATTGATAATGTTCTATTCCCTATATTATTTTTTTCTAAAAATGGAACAACCTAATTTGTGATTTTTTTATAATTCAGCACAAAATTTTCCACAAAATAGTAACTCAGAAGTTGTGAAAATGGCACAATATTTTTCTCCAAAACAAAAAAAAATTATGTAAAAATCTGAATCGAACCGTCAAATTGGAGAAAAAGTGAACAATCAGTTTTGCGTCATAGACGCTCTCATATATATATATATATATATATATATATATATATATATATATATATATATATATATATATATATATATATATATATATATATATATCTGTGTGTGTGTATGTGTATCTCCCTGTATATATAAATGGGAGAGATAGTTAGGTATCCATTAAAAAAATGCAAATTTTCCGTCCAAATTTCATATACCTCATGCTTAAAAAGTTGTACTCACTTTGTCCAAAATTAATGTTCTCAATTTGACTTGGCACGCAGTTTTAGGTGAAGTAAAATTGGGGTTGACTTCCCCAAAATACCCCTCCTCTTCGGTCACTCAGCCAGCCTCCTTGCCTTATTCCTCCTCCCAAAATCACCAAAAAAATTGCTGCTGGGTACCCCTTATTTTGGGATAAAGACTGGCAGGTCCCATTGTTTTTCAAAACATACTCCGAGGTACTTTAAGATATTCGAAAACTGACTCCGGGGTGACAATCCGTCATTCCCTCCGTTAATATTTCTTCTCCGTTATCCTCCTCCTCCTCCTCCTCCCAAAACGTTGCTGCCAGGTACCCCTTATTTTGGGATAAAGACTGGCATGCCCCATTTTTTTTAAAAAACTTACTCATAGAGATTTAAAATATCCTTTGTTCAAAATATTACTTTATCGAATTAATATACAATATATGTTTTATTTAATAATAGGTCAAAAATTAAAAACAATTGATTGAAAAAAGTCAAAACGTGACATATGCTCCGAGACAGAGATAATATTATGTATTTCCTATTATTTCCTTAATTAATATTAGAAATTAATTGCAGAGTAGTAATTTTATTACTCTATTTTTAAGAAATACGGAGTAACAATCATTATTATTTAGAAAAATAGTACTCCGCATTAGTCAATTTGATAGTCGCCATTGGTAATGGTGTCTTGGTAAATTGAGAAAACAAGAGGACTTGAAAAAAGAATAAGATGAAACAATAAAAATAGTATTAAATTTAATATGTCTTGTAAAGATAATATGAAACAAAAAAAATAGTGTTAAATTTAATACGGAGTATTATTATAAAATTATTTAAAATTGTGTTAAATAATATTTTTGCAAATAAGGGGTACGAGCAGCAATTTTTGCAAAATCACCGTTAATCCTCCTTCAACTCAACACCGTTCCTTCTTCAACTCACTAGTCTTCCTCCTTCAACCCAACACCACCCAAAATCATCGTTTACCTCCGTCCTCACACCTCACAAGCCGGTCGGTACACCTTCCGGCCTCCATCACATCCACATCTCTGTACATCTTCGATTAGATCTTTGTCGCCGTTGCTCATCGTCAAGCAGCTCTATCAAACCTCCACTGCCGTTGCTCCATGTCGAAGAAGGAGAAGAAGAATTGAAAAAGGGGAAAAAGAATTGAAGAAGGAGAAGAAGAATTGAAAAAAGGGGAAAAAGAATTGAAGAAGGGGAAGGTATATAGAAAAGTGTCCGTTCATTATAGAAGCAACAGTAGAAGGTGGTAGGTTTGCAACATTTTGGCTTCTCATATTTCACTTGTATGTACGGAGTACCATGGAGAAAAGCGGAAGAAGAATACTTCGTAAAACTGAAGATGGACCGGGTGACACAGATTCAAGCCACAAGAACTCGAGGTCCAGGGAACAACCAGTTCTGACCAGACCTCCATGCCGCTGGATCGGCTCTCGCCATCCATGTTCCCAACCATTGCCAGAGATCGATTCTAACGAGGTCACCACCGGCACGTTTTTGATTTGGGGTGTTTCGAAAACCCTAATTTATTTGTTTCTCTTTTATGAATACTTATCCAGCTTTAAAGGGGGTTTTTAAGAAGCTGATTAATTGGACATTTGGTTTTTAATTTGCATGATATTTGATTTAATAGATGATAATGTTCTACACTGATAAATAATTGTTAGAGTTTGTCAATTTGGGATTCATGGTAAACGGAGTATTGTGTTGCCTAAAAAGTTTAAGAAAAAATCAGATAGAGATTTGTCTCCACCGTCCATCGTCATCAGTATGTCTGTGATTGTGGTATGTACGAATCCCTAATCTCTTATCTTTATTCATAGCAGCTGGCGATGATATATTAGGTAGTTTGGATTCGGTACTGTACATCAGCTGCGTTCTGTCCGAGGACGGAAAGAGAAAACAAGGTTTGTGTCTGAGGAGATATTCACAGATTTAGTTGCTGAAAATGCTCAATTCAATAAGGCTCTCATGGCTCTCTTGTTGTGTTAGTTTTTTTTGTTCTTAAGTATGGTATGAAAAGCAAATCAAACCCTTAAGAAGAGGGTTTGATTTATCCCTTGTGCTTATGCCTTCTTAAAAATCAATGGTCTGTTTTTAGAAAAGCAACTTCTATTCTTTGGAAAGTTCAATATTCAATTCAGGTGGTGGGCAAATTATGTGGGCAAATTATAGTTCCTAACAAATAATAGATAGTTTTCTAGAATTTTTTACTATAATATGCATCCCTTGTTTCAAGTTATACATGTTTTTTAGGGGCTTTTATTCCAACCTACTCATTAAAAATAATAGGAATGCTTATTGAAACAAATTCTTAGGATTTTCAATCTGCTTACTGAAAATCCTAACTAATAATAGGTTGTTTCATATATACTTTTTGTATAACTTCTACTTTTCTTGTCTTTGTGGACTGTAAGTATTGTCTTTAAAAGTTCTTGTATGTTGCTTGCTTAGATCTTTCTTATTTAATGAGCTTTATGAATGCATTTTAGTGTGAAAAGATTGCAAAACATTTTTCCTAGGTGACAGGAGGGGGGGGGGGCAGTTTGGGCAAGGGGAGATACTAAAAGAATTAGATATTATACTTAGATGGTTAGGTTGCACTTTTAAATATATACTTAATCAATGTTTCACGACATATAAAGAGATTGATGAATTTATTTATCCTATGTACTTCAATGGTTAGGTTGAACACATGCAGATTTTGACTCTATTTTTGGATTACGCCTCAAGTGATTATTGTCGTTTATTGTCGTTTGAAATTTAAAATTCCAAATTTTCAACTTAGGACAATAAGATTGATGATGTGAATTTTCTTGTGGGGTCTTTTACAGATGGAGGACTGTTCAAGAGGAGTGTGGAGTGTACGGTTCGGTGAATAACATCCAAGTGCAATGAAGGTTTCTCTTTGATGACGTTGATACCTGATCCATTGGTTTTACCGAGAAACATAAAAAAATGTTTACCAATATTCTTGCCACTAATACCAGGGGAGGTCTCACGACCACAAAAAGTCCAAAACCCGTATACCTACAAAGCCAGGAAAGTTCAAGTAATGTTTTACATTTTTTTGTGGTTAATGTTCAGGTTAGCAATATGCGTGAAAAATGTCCTTCACTTCATGTATGGTGGTGCATCTTTTGTGACATACAATCAGGAATGCTTTCCTGTAATTTATTCTCTGCATAAATGATGTGAAGATAACAATAGTTTGGTTAGTTAATTAAAAAATGTGAATACAATGTAGTAATTAAATAACGGCTAATATATATGGCCAATATCTGACTTCATACATCTAATTTTCCAAGCACTCCATTGGTAATCATTGTAAAATTATATTTTTGAGGAGTCAGACTTAAGGTATCTAAAATTGAAATATTTCATACAAAAGTATAATGCATCTTTGAAAAAGAAAATTATGCCGTTGGATTTATTTCATGAGAATATCTTAAAAATGAACTATGTAACTAAAACTTACCATTTTGTACCAATATATCTTTAATAGTGGTGTAGGTACATACATAGTTGTGAATGGCGCTCGCCATTCTCGCCTAAGGCGCCTATGGCTGTGTGGCGACCATGTGACGCCATCTTCAGACCTGGCAAGGCGTTTTACGCCATTCTCGCCAATGGCGGTCGCCATGGACGCCAGACTCTGAGTCGAAAGGCGTTCGCCATCTACGCCAGATGCAGGTCAAGGGTTTTTTAATTAAAAACTTTGACTTTTTTTTAAAAAAACGCGCTGACCTATATCTCGATCGAAACACTTCATCGATTCAACTGCCTTGCCTCTGCCCTCTCGCCGTCGGTCGAAATACTCCCCTGCCGACGCAGCCTCCTGCCCTCTCAAGTTCTCCTCAGCAAGCGCAGCCCCTCCTCTCTCTCCCGAGTCCGAACAGCGCACATCTTCGCAGACTCAGAGCCGGCGCAAGTAAAGTCCAGACTCCACACTTCGCAGGTCACACTCAGACTTTTTTCTTTTCTACTTTTCTTATTGTTTTTTTTTGAATGGTTATTGTTTCTTTATTGTCTTTATATTCTTGATTTCTTATAGATATAATTTATTGTCTTTATTTTCGCTATTTTCTACTTTTTTTGTTTTCTACTTTTCTTATTGTTTTTTTGTTTTTTGTTTTAACTTTTACCAATAACTCATGTTTTACTTTGATAATTATGTTTGATACAAAGTTAAGACTAAAAGTTTAGACTTAAACAATATAAATATAGGGATTTTATATATATATATATATATATATATATATATATATATATATATATATATATATATATATATATATATATATATAATGTTCGCCATTTGACCGCCCGCCGCTCGCCACGCTTCTCGCCATAAAAAAGAACCTCTCGCCCGCCACTCGCCATTCGCCATTCACAACTATGGGTACATAGTAACAGACTATGAATCTTTTAATGCCATGTACAATTTCCAGGACATGACAAAACAACAGAGGAGTACTGTTTACTCGTGGGGTGCTTCCGAGGGCAGCACTTCTGAAATGGTCACAGTTGATGATGAATTTGGTCCAGTTACGACTTACAAGTGTTAAATGGGCTCCCAACGGAAGGCATGTTGCTGCTGACTTGAATAATTTTGATGCCCAGTTGTGGGATTCCACGAATAACACATTGGTATGCTTCTTCTCAAGCTCTATTAGATTCGCTCTTTGAAACTTTTCTTTCGTTAATTGAAAAAATGCTGAGTTTGTTTGCTGGCCTTTACCTACTTTGAGAGGTTGCCACCAATGACGAGTAATAGCCCTTGATTAGAACAATCGTATACTAACCACAGGTGGGATGGGTGGTAAGATTCTCAACAATGACGTGCGGGTGAGATCACAAATTGTGGAAATATAAGGAGGAAATAGTCAAGAAGTGTGCGGCCTAAATTGGTTTGCCTCGGGTCATCACTTTGCAAGCAGAGGATATGATAATCTTCTCTATATTTCGGACATATCATCGACTATTGTTTCTTCTTCCAACTCCACCTCCTGAACAACACAATGGCTTCACACATTTGCAGTTAAGGTGCTTGCCTGGTGCCCCTTTAAGGAGAACCTCTTGGCATCCGGTGGAGATCGACCAATGCATTAAGTTTTAGAATGCCCATACCGGTGCGTAGATGAACTCTGATACATATTCCCAGGCATGTCCGTTTCTTTGCAACAAGAATGAGCGCGAGTTGCTTACCTCTCATGGGTTTACTAAGAATCAACTGAATCTCTAGAATTACCCATCAATGGTTAAAATAGTAGAGCTTACGGAACTTACCCCTTGAGTTTTTTTTATTTCCCTCAAGTTTGACTATCTTTCTTCTTCTTTTTCTCACAAAATTAATATCCTAACGTTTCTGTGGTTGTGCGTAGTAAATGATAAGTATACTCACACTCATATTTGTTGTGCAGAGCCTTGATGTTTGCATTCTAGCATCTGCTGCAAGTGATGAAACACTAAGATTCTGGAATGTTATAAGAACCCCTGAAGTCAAAAATAGGTACGCAAGTCTAAGCTGGAGCTGTTCGCTCATGTTAATTGAATCCACTCATGCCCGCCCATACCCCATTCACTATTTGCTTGATGTGATCTCAGGTATAGATTACTTGTTCAAGATCTTTGTTTTTCACGGTGAGTGCCCATGCAATGTGGCCTTCAGTATTTAACCGAGTCCTTTGGTCATCCCTTGTTTATATATTGAACCATTGTCACTATATTACATTATAGTACTTTATTTCTAGCTGTTTTAATTAGTGCCCTATTCGAGGCATTCAAGAAAAAAGTTCTTTCTTTTTTGGCACTACTCAAAAGTGATAGTTCAATGAGAAGGGAAGGGGATGGAATGCTTAGGATATTGATCAATGTTTGATTACGTAAATGAACCATTTATTTCTATCATAACTTGGGATACATTGATCAATCTTTGATGATGTAAATTTATCATTTATTTCTAACAGAAGTTTTGGTGTTATCATTACAAAGGTTTAGTATGCTCTGTTTTACTTCTGACATTGGTTCACGTGCCAGATAATGTTGTCTCTAAACGATGATATCAGCGGTGAGGACTCTAATGCTGGCAGTATTTCTGAGTAATGACAGTAATGAAAACACTGAGGGTGATCAAACTGAAAGAATTACACGCATTCTAGGATGCATATTTAATAGAATTCACTTCAAAAGAGGTACATTCCCAAGTTTTTTTGGATAATTCATTTCACTCTTATGTTCAATACTTTCCGTCTTGAAAATGAAAAGTCATTGTCTAGGAAAAATAATTCCCACTAATTTATGGTTAAAACAAGATATTATTTATTTATCGACTGATTTTTTGAACTAAATTTTATGCACACAATGCTTCAATTGAATAGAATTCGCCTCCCACTTATTATTGTGCTTACTTTAACTTGTTTTCTTGATCACACCTATTCTCATCCAGATATAATATATTTCAAAACCAAACCCTATTTCTGTACCAAGTTTTTTCCCCATGGAAATAATACACATATTATTTTTAATGATTATTACGCCCAAGGGATCATCCTTGCAGCAGGTTATAATACATAATAGCAGGAAATGATGACATCTACAAGTACGTTGAACTCCAAGATAAACAGCAACTTCAAATCAAAGTGGAATAACCTGGTATTGAACCATTCATTTTGTATTTGTAAATGCCATATTCAAATTAATTCAAATAACATTATTCATTAAATAGAATTTAATAGATACCAATAATTGCTTACTTACACCAACAATATTCACATGAACTCAAATCAAATGAAATGTCAGTTTATTGTCGTTTGAAATTTAAAATTCCAAAATAATTGTGTTCATTGTTGGTTTTCAAACACCACTCACAACCCTGTAAAATCATACATCCACAACTTACTTCTTCCTTACCTACATAAGAATAAACCTTCATACAATGATAACACTCAATACTTTTTCCTTAAAGTTCATGTGTCATTGTATTTAGAGTGGATTAATCAAGTATTATAGCATTGGTTTAGACTTAAATACATATTATAAGAAAAATCAATGAAATAACATATTCTTTCAACATAAAAGAGTTGAAATACCTTTAGTGCTAACTACCATAGAATCCATATACACCTTCCGAAGAATCAAGATACTGCTCTTGGTTCCTTAGATGAAAATATTCGGGTTGAATCTGATGAAACTGGGAGTGATCTCTTTATGAATCAAATTTGTCAATGTCCATCATGCAATACTCGAGATAGAAAGATGGACACACCAGAAACTTGTTTACACAAATGTAATCATAGTGATGGATTTTTGAAATACATGCTGCAAATGTAAGTCTATATATATACTCATATAATTGTAGACCATTTCCATACATATGGTCAATAGAATTTCTAATATCTACAAAAAGGTACTGTATATGGGCATTTTTTCAATTGGATGTATGTGTTTCATTTTATGGAGAGTGGGCATGTGTTTTAAGACGACACCAGTTGAAGGGTATATTACCCAACATGTTAAAAATGTTTACATGGCACTGTGGGACCTATTTTAAAGATCCGTAATGTAGATTTTACCTGTTTTGATCCCAATGTATTTTCATTTGGTACCGTATGAGGCATGTCTGATTGGTAGAACACTTTCGAGGAGCCTCCATCACACAACAGTTCCTTAATAAATTAACTTAATGGGATGGGTGTTATTATAGAGGATTGGGAAGGTGAGGTTGAAGGCATTGTCCAAGGACTAGACACAAGATGAACTTATCAAACAAACTTTCAAACTTCATACCCAAGAGTATTTTATTATATTTTCATTTATGCTAATAAACATTAAACCTTTATTTATAGATGCTCTTTGACATATAAAAAATGCTATATAATGTAAAGGGTGCATTGCAGAACCAAAACCCACACACTAACAGCTATATGATGTCTTTTTTAACATATGAAATGTGCATGTGTTGGCAAATCCTCTTACTCCGTATATAACTTTTATACTTATACCATATGCTTCAAATACACAATAGTAATGAAAAAATAACACCATTCATCTCAATACTTTGAACATGACATGTTTTCGACCTTTACACTAGACAATCTAACACTGAGCCCAAAATACTTTATTGTTGTTAAACTGCAGTTGTTTTACTATGAAAGCATCAGGGATACCATGCAGATTTACGTGGCTTATTATCTGCACCTGTCATGATGGGACCATTTTATTCATTTGGTGGTCGTACGTCTTTACATTATCTTCTTTCAACGCTTCCAATGTCCTCTAGACAACTAAATATAACTTTTGGAGCTCTTGGAGAATCTCTTAAGGTCCGTCATTGTTATTTGTTGTCATTTAAACCCTTTGCATAAATGGTTCATGTGTTTTTCTTTAAGTTGGCTTTAAAATATTACAAATGCACAAACTTTTTCCTTATGTTGGTTTTAAAATATTATAAATGCACTTACTAAAAAACAGAAAAAACAAAAATGAAACGTAATCAAAACTCACTTCTTATCTTTTTAATTCAACTAATGAAAGTCATCAACCTCTTTTTCTCAATACGAGAAAATACAAAATAGTGGCTTCTGATATGTAATTTCTACATACTGATAAATGATGATTGTAGCTATATACTGATAAAACATGATCAGGCACTTAAACATATTCAAATTTGAACATATCATGTTCAGTTTTAACTCATACCAGACCTTATGAAGTTCACTTTGGTAAATAATTTCTGCTATCACTATGACTTTCGTTGTTTCATGTTGTGTTTGTGTATGTACACACACACACACATATACACACACACACATCCTTCCTATATATATGTAAAATAGAGTTAATCAATTGTAGTGTTGCCAAGTGTCATATGACATGTCATTTTTTTTCCCGCTGGAAGCTTCTTTTTCCTCGCTGGCATCCACATCAGTTCCCCAATCCACCCGCTGAAGATGTTTTCCTATTATCTCGCCGACCCCTAATCCCAGCCGCTGAGCATCTTTTCCAATTACTTGCTGGTTACGCATGATTGTCATGAATGAATGAGGAATAACTCACCGGTTACGCAGCCAATTAACTCGGCGGGGAGCTGCGTGTTGTGCCTTTCCCGCTGTCCTCAATCCCATGGGAATTACACTACGTGAACAGGGCGTTTAAGGTAAGTGAAATTAATTTGATTTCTAGGTAGTTGTATATTTACTTCCAATGAATTGCAATCATGGACGTTTGTGGCTTTTGGGTGACTAGGGTTCTGCCAGTGACCTCCCAATATCATGAATTGGGTGTTGCCTTCCAATATCATCCACTTTGCTTTCAAGAACATAGATTGTCATAAGTGTCT